GGCCCCACATTTCCTAAATCCGCCCCTGATTACAGGTTATTAAGATCGTATATCTTTACATTGATGTTGACCTTTATTTGTTCTGATGCATTTGGTTTGTTTTTGATGAATTGGCGTTCTGGATGAGGTCACCTGGAAGCAGTTTTATGTCCATTAGATTTTCCTCCAGCTGTGTTAGAGTAAAAACCGCAGGCAGAGTTACCTGCGCTGGCGTCTTAGGAAAACTCGTTTCTGATGTTTCACCAACGTCTCCAGACTCCAGGCTTCTCATTGGCTCTCGGGCTGGTGGTCCACGGCCTCTCTGTGTCCGGCCACGGCAAAGCAGAGGACATCCAGCCCCGCCTGCTGGCTGCTTGGATCCAGATCCTCCTGGCCGAGGTACGGCGCCATTTCACCAGCACCCGAGTGCACCGAACGTCTCCGCATCGTCAGCTAACGATGTACTGTGGATCATGTGATAAAGAGATTTCTTTGCGTTTCAGAGTTGTCCCACGATGCAGCGGCTGGCTGCCGCTAACGGACTGGTGGCTCTGGTGGGATCAGAGAGCGGCCTGATTCAGGTAGGAGCCCAGCTCCATGCAGGAGCGCGTTCTGCGGCTGTTCACTGGGAAATATGGCTGCTATGCTTTATTTTCACAGTTTCAGAATGAGTTGGAGCTTTCCTCCCAGCAGCAGAGCAGACTGAACGAGGTGATCCGCGGCATCACGCAGGTAGCCCTCTGGCTCCCACCTAACATCCTCCATGTTGCCTGTTTTTTTTCCTTCTTGGACATAAACAAAAAGACGAATCGTTTTTGGTTCTTTGTTGCAGATTATAACCTTTTCTGGGGCCATTGGCCTGCAGTCCAACTGTGCCTGCCTGATCGGCCATCTGCATCTGGCCCACATGTCCAGCAGTCACAGCCACACAGCAGGTAGAGCAATCAGAGACAGCAGGAGAGTTTGATTCAGTTATATAAGGAAAAGACTGGAAATGAACAACAATTAAACAAAAAACAATCTAGCAGAAGAAATTATTAAAACAAGGAATATTTTTAATACTCTTGAAGCTAAAACATCTAAAAAGAGCTCCATGCCAGCAGCATAAAGGTAGCCTTTCTGTTTCTGACCCATGAGTTTGGTTAGAGGTTTGGCCACAGCAGACATGTGGAAACTAATGCCCCTTTCCCACTGGCTGAAAAACCAGTTTAAACCCAGGAATGATGGGCTTTTAGCGGCAGTGAGAACAGCTCACTGCCGTGAGTTTACACGGGTCAAAAAACTCCGTCTGAATCTCATCGGCTCTGATTAGCAAACTGGGAACACTAGGGGTATAAATCACATCCATCATTCGATAACCTGACGCCGCCAGATGGATTTGCTCCGCATATCCATCTGGAAACCTTCCATTGAAGTAATTTTGGGAAGGGGGGAAAATACTGGTTATCTGATTGGCCTATGTTGGTGATAGACGGGCCAAATAAACCAATCAGATCAACGAAGCATATGACGTACTAACAGAGCGACGACGAAGACACAACCACAAGCCAGGCTTCTTTCAGTGAAGAAATACTCTGCAATTCCGATAAAACTTGC